TATATATATATATAAGGATATATACAGGATATAAATATAAATGATTAAAATATTACAAAACATATTAATTTTTAGCCTACATGAAGTTTTAAAAACCACTGCCTTACTTCCTTCATCTCGGGAGGCTTTTTCAGTTCATGCAATTTGCTTTTGTATAATGTTATTATTATTAGCAGTATTATTTATTATATCCATATTTATATTTGTTTTATTAAAAACAAGCTTAGATTTGTCCACCTGTCAGGTTTTAGACCATATGGGGCATGGCAGGTGTATTTGGAAATAACTCAGTATTTTGACCACACTTTGTTTTTATTGTTCATTTATTCATTTGCTAGAAATTAGAACTGAATTTAGAAATAGTTTTGAAACAAATCTTTACGCTAAACAAACAAAATTAATTATTTATAGGCTAATTGATGTCTGTGCGTAAAGGTTTCCCTATCCACGAGAGCAAAAGCGAAAGTGAACTTACTTTACGTCAAAATGTGCTTATGGTGCGACGCAGCTGGCTCTTAAAGGGAATGGGAGATGAGGCTCTAATTGGTTTATTCTCAAAACAGACCTATAACTAAGAAAATAAACTCAACCCTTTTAGACCATGCGCCATGGCGCAAAGCGGATTTTCCCGTCCTTAAATTAACAAAAACGCATTCTGACACGCCCTGAAAGCATTTGCGCCCTGCGTTTTGCGCTCTGCGCATGGACCGTCAAAATAGAGCCCATAGTGTTGTAAATATAATATCAGACCCACTAGTTTTTCAAGGTTTTTTGTGACTTTTGCCCTATAGACACTTTCTTAATCACTCCATGTCTCTTGGAGACATTGTGCATTTCAAATTGTGCTTCATTCAGGTGAGTGGGCTTGACAAACCACCTGTACAGTTGAACATTTGAATGTTGCTCCAGGATCAACTCAGAAGCTGATCCAGGAACATGTCCTACTTAAAGGGTGAACGGCCCTTTAGCCCTTTTTGATTTTCAACCATACTCTTAGCGTTTGAGACAGCTCATGTGTCTATCCATCATTGGCAGTCTCTCTCTTTCTGTTTTTATTTCCACTAGACCAATGCATGAGCATTTTTCTGTCACTGCTGTGCTGTGCACACACAGTCTTATGTGTCAGCAAGTGCAATTCCTGTAACAAAATGTTCTGCTAGTGGACCAAACTGAAACACATGGTACACACTGAAACACATACCATACCAAGCAGAGATTTGGACAGTTCGTCTCTACTAGTTCTCTTCATGTACTGTACTATAAGAGTGTTTACACAAACGGATTGAGTTCATCTTAAGTTTGCGCAACGTGACAGCGGTGGATCAGAGAAATGAGTTTACATCCTTTTGCCACCCGCCACGGCTCAAAGACACTGTTATGATGCAAATCTGATTGTTGTAGATTTCATTAAGTTTCAGCCTTCTCTTGTTTATTAAGACATTACAAACATGGCAACAAAATATATAAGCAAAGCAGGGTATAAACCAAAAGAATGGTGCATTTTAATATGCCAGGATTTGTGAAATAAGTATGATGGCAAGATTTTCCGATAGGTTACTTGCAGAAAACTGTTCATCTTGGAATATTTCAGGAACAATATTTTTGGTCAGTGTCCGCCTCAGTGTCTTTAAAAAATTGTTTAAAAAAAATTAACCAAACTGTTAATACTAAATTTTAAATTCATTGTTTGAAAATAAAAAGCTAATGAATGTATAGTAAATAAATAAAATGAATGAATGAATAAAGATCCATGACAAAAAATAAATAAATAAAATAAGGACTTTGCAGGATAGATCAATAAAATGCATAATCAAACTAATTTATTTAATATCAATATTAAATAACTTATATTTAACTCACTCATTTAATTTTCAGTGGCATTCAGTTATCGCCTTTAAGCAAAAAAAAAAATCAAGTAAAAGATAAATAATAAACTACTAAATCCATTAGCTACAGTACATTAAAATGCATGAAGTATTTTAAAATATAATGAATATTAAATTAATTATACGTGCATCCAAAAAGTGTTCATAGCGCTTCACTTTTTCCACATTTTATTTGTTACAACCTTATTTCAAAATGCATTAAATTCATTTATTTCCTCAAAATTCTACGCACAATACCCCATACTGACAATGTGAAAAAAGAGTTTTTGAAACTGTTGCAAATTTATTACAAATAAAAAAATCTGAAAAATCACAAGTATTCACAGCTTTTGCTGTGAAGCTCTAAATTGAGCTCAGGTCCATTTTGTCTACACTGATCATTCTTGAGATGTTTCAGCAGCTTAACTGGAGTTCACCTGTAGTCAATTCAGTTGATTGGACATGATTTGAAAAGGCATACACCTGTCTATATAAGGGCCCAAGGTTGACAGTGCATGTCAAAGCACAAACCAAGCATGAAGACAAAGGAATTGTCTGTAGACCTATGAGACAGGATTGTCTGGAGGCACAAGGCTGGCGAAAGCTACAGATAAACTCTGCTGCTCTGAAATTTCCAGTGAGTACAGTGGCCTCCATCATCCGTAAGTGGAAGATGTTTGGAACCACCAGGACTCTTCCTAGAGCTGAGAGAAGGGCCTTAGTTAGAGAGGTGATCAATAACCCGGTGGTCACTCTGCCTGAGCTCCAGCGTTCTTCTGTGGAGAGAGGAGCTATTGAGCACCTATTGAACATCTCTGGAGAGATGTGAAAAAGGCTGCACACCGTCGCTTTCTATCCAACCTGATAGAGCTTGAGAGGTACTGCAAAGAGGAATAGGCAAAAATTCTCAAAGGCAGGTGTGCCAAGCTTGTGGCATCATTTTCAAAAAGACTTGAGGCTGTAATTGCTGCCAAAGGTGCATCAACACAGTATTGAGCAAAGGCTGTGAATACTGATGTACATGTGCATTTTCAGGTTTTTTTATTTTTAATAAATTTGCAACAATTTCAAAAACTCTTTTTTTCACATTGTCATTATGGCGGATTGTGTGGAGAATTTTGAGGAAATAAATGAATTTAATAAAATTTTGAAATAAGGCTGTAACATAAGCAAATGTAGAAGGAGTGAAGCGCTATGAACACTTTCCGGATGCACTGTGTGTATCTATCTGTACAATATGCACAAATAGTAAGAGTGTTACTATTCAACAGTTTTATATATGTGACCCTGAACCATAAGTGTCCATTCTTTTAGGAAATCAGAAAGCTTGGTTAAATAAGAGTTACATTGACATAAATATAGTCTAAACAAAGTGCTTTGCAATGCATATTACAAAGGGGGAAAAAAGAGTTTTGATATATTTACAGTCAGAAATTCACTAAATATCTTCATGGAACATGATCTTAACTTACTATTAATATTCCAATGATTTTTGGCATAAAATAAAAATAGATAATTTTGACCCACACAATGTAATTCTGTCTATTGCCAAAAATATACTAGTGAAAAAAAGATTGGCATTGTGCTCCAACTTAATACTGTCCATCTCCCATATACAGTTGAGGTCAGAACTATTAGCCCCCCTTAATTATTAGCCCTCCTGCATATCTTTTTCCACAATTTATGTTTAATGGAATGATTTCTTTTTCTAAACATAATAGTTTTAATAACTCATTTCTAATAACTGATTTCTTTTTTCTTTGTCATGATGACAGTAAATCATATTTGACTAGATATTTTAAAAGATACTAGTATTCAGCTTAAAGTGACATTTAAAGGGTTAATTAACTAGGCAGGTTAGGGTAATTAGGCAAATCATTGCTTGATTTATGGTATGGTAAGTGTAATACCAGATGTATTTGTATCAGGGGAAAGATTACAAGTTGTATCTGAGTACGAGTACCTTGGAGTTTTGATTGATTTAAAACTATCATTTAAGTCTCAGGTAAAATAGGTTTGTGAACGTGTCAGATTGAATTCAGCAAATTTTAGATTTATTCTTGATCAGATGTCATGTGAGGCTGCCGTAATCTATTATCACATGCTGTTTAACCACTTGGTCCAAAGCCAGCACTACTACTTTGAAGCCACTTGAATCATTGTACAAACAATCTATAAAAACTCTTGATAAGAAATCAGTTCAATTTCACCATTGTTCAATATTAAAGAAATACAACCTGCTTAGTTGGGAAAATTTCACTAAAAATGTACATATCTGTTTAATGTTTACGACCCTACATAACCCGACTTCACCACTAAATCAGTTTGTGAATATTAGAACAACTGCTCACAGAACAACTAGAGGTGGTGAAAGAGGGGACTGCATTATTCCTCTCAAAAAAAGTAAATTCAGTCAGTCGGCATTTTCAGTGAAAGCTGCTAAGGAATGGAACTCCATCCCACCAACAATTAGAAGATCATGCACTTTTCAATCTTTTCAGTCTCATGTTAACAATTGGTTATTGACAAATCAGCATTAGTACTGTATTCTTTACACGTGTACTGTTTGTCTTTGGCTTTTTGTCCTTTTCTGCTGCCATCAGTCTGTTTTTGTCTTTCACTTTTTAATTTTATTTTATATATGAAAATGTATTTAATGTTTAATGCTGTGCTTCTATTTTAGGTGTGACCTTTTAACATTCTGTAAGGGGTCTACAGATGAAAATAGCCATTCTTAATGTGCATTGACCCTGCAAACAACTAAACTAAACTAAACTAAACTAAACTAAAGCATAACAATAGTTTGTTCTGTAGACAATCTGGAAAGAAATATTGCTTAAGCGGGCTAAAAATATTGACCTTAATACGGTCCTTTTACCTAAAAACTTTATTCTAGCCGAAATAAAACAAATAAAACTTTCTCAAGAAGAAAAAATATTATAGGAAAAACTTTGAAAAACGTCTTGCTCTGTTAAACATAATTTGGGAAAGATATAAAAAAAAGAATAAAGAAAAAAATCCACAGGAGGGCTGATAATTCTGACTTCAACTCTAACTTTGTCTGAAATATATTTCGTAGTGGGCAAAAAATGCATTTATGCTACAACTGACAAATTAGCGCATGAATATTCTTACTTCTGCAAAGAAAGGTTGAGTTTGTCTGAGCTGGCTTTAATCTTGTTCTGGGCCTCCAGATGGTTCATGCCGTCAGTGCTGATGCCGTCGATGGACAGCACCAGATCTCCCACTGCAACTCCTGCTTTAGCAGCCTTTCCGGCATCCGTCAGCTGAAAAAAAGGAGAAATAACTAATGGTGAAAACAACACAGAGGCACATATACGAGAAAATCACAAAGATACAGTAAACAAACCAAATACACAGTAAAAATCAATTAGTTAAATGCAAAGTAGAGAAATATGTATTGAGCTTAATCTAATTAAAGCCCCGTTTACACTAGTGCATTTTAGTTTTAAAACGGCGTTTTAGAATGAAAACGATCCGCGTCCACAATAGCTTTTCACCCAGCGTTTCTGAACAACTCTCCGTCTACACCAGGGGTCGGCAACCCGCGGCTCTAGAGCCGCATGCGGCTTTTTAGCGCTGCCCTAGTGGCTCCCTGGAACTTTTTCAAAAAATGTTTGAAAATGGAAAACGATGAGGGAGGTTAATATATTTTTTGTTTTAATATGGTTTCTATAGGAGGGCAAACAATCTTAACGTTTTCCAATGCTGTAAAAGTGTGTAGAATATTTAATTTCAACATTTCTGTCAACGAAGATTTGCGTCATAGCCTGCGACACATGTTTCTATCAGCAGGGCGGGATGCCAGGCAGGTAGCTGTTGTAAACAAACCGGCGGCTGTGTGATGCGCCATGGAGCGCAAGCTGTCTTTGCCAAAGATGTACAGCGGGGCACGCTTTCTCATTTTCCCTCCCTGAGAGAATTCAAAGAAGCCCATCCCGATCACTCACTCAACGGTGATTATTTACAAGGTGCGATCGTTGATATGCAAACTGCATTTGAGAGCAGATTTTGCGAGTTGCGAAAGGAAAAAACGAGACTGTCTTTCCTTGACACACACCCCTGGAGATTAACCCTTCCTTGTTGAGCACATTCCCAGGAATGACTTGAGCTGATCTTGAAATGGAAATGGCAGGCTGCGTTGTATTGCACTGTTGCCCAGATAAGGGGCACGTACGTGCACGTTAATTTTAATGTTGCTTTTTGGAATCCTCAAAATAAAATAAAAAAAACATTTTAAAAAAATCTGATTTCTTTATTGCATTTCTTTAATTTCATCAAAGCAAAACATAATGCAATAATATTGTAATGAAGTTAAACTTGATCATTAAACATAATTCATTAATATTGTAATGAAGTTAAACTTGATAATTAAACATAATGCATTAATATTGTAATGAAGTTAAACTTGAACATTAAACATAATTCATTAATATACTGTAATTAAGTTAAACTTGAGACGGCATCGTACAACAGAGTAGTCACGTGGCGCGTCATTCTCTACAGGATGCACTGCAGGGAAATGAACATTTAATCATGAAGGCTCAGTATGTATTTGTAGCCAACGAAGTCATTTTTATAGTAGGCTAATATAGCTAATATAAATACATACAGCATGTGTTGCCATCATTATAAGGCTTATATAAGGCTTTTAATTTTTTGCGGCTCCAGACATATTTGTTTTTGTTTTTTTTGGTCCAATATGGCTCTTTCAACATTTTGGGTTGCCGACCCCTGGTCTACACCAAAACACTGAAAACGCACATCACGTGACCACACACACACTCTCTGGCATCAAGGAAGTGTTCATCAAGGATCTCCCGCTGGATCTAATCTCATTATATTTGTTAAACGTTATATTTAATTCATCTTGTTGTCTATATCTAACAACATATTCCCCGACTTTGGTCTTTTAAATCTATTACTTGTTCTCGGGTCACGTGTTTTGGCTGAGCGCAAAGATAAATTGATAATTAATCTAACAATGTACATTCTGTATATTGACTGATCGCTTGCCTTTATTTCCTATATTGTATAAACTTATTGTACGTTATACTTTTATAATGGTCATTATTGATTATTAAAACTGATTTTCAGCAAAAGAGAGGGCATGTTTCATAATTTCATTAAAAATGAAAGGAGGCAGTGATGTTATAGGCTCCGTTTTGTTATGAATACTCCGTTTTTGGCGCTTGAAAACTCCAGCGTAGTGTGGATGGTGGCGTAACCGTAGCAAAACTTGAAACTTGAAAACTTTCAAACTAAAACGCATTGGTGTAAACGGGGCCGAGGGCTAAAAGGCCAAAAATAATTCTTTAAAAAAAAATGTTTTTTTTTTATTTATTAATTATGTATTTTTATTTGAATTTATGCAATTTATTTAATTTCCCCTTTTTAACCATTTGGTTGATTCCTGATTTTTCAGTCATTTATTCATTCATTTTCCTTCGGCTTAGTCCCTTTATTTCCCGTTTATTTACGGCTGTGAATTGCATTATGGGACTCCTGCTCTGTCGACTTTTGATGTTAAAAAATCAACTGTACAGTTAAACAGTGACTTTTATTGACATTTTAATAGTTTGATATAATATAATGTATAAGAAATCATATATAGTGAAATAAGTCTGTGAAATAACAGAACATGTACTGGCAGCTTATTACAAGGTTTGTGTAGCGTGATATAAAACACCAACCCAAATAATATATCACTTTAAACTAATAAAAATCTTCATAAAAGTCACTTTTTCCAACTTTTCAAGATTTTAAAGTTGTTGGATGATAGATCAAGCTCCCACAATGCAATTCAAAAGCATAAATAAATCTGGGAAATAATAAAATAAAATCATGAATCACAAAATACAAGAAAACTGATAATTTACTGATAGATTTTACAGTATATACACAACTTTAAATTAAAATAAAAGTGACTAAAAACAGACATAAGCTGCACTTTTGAACTTGGCTAATGTTTCACAGTAAAAGCTTTAGGAAACAACATAAAAGGCCTCATGTGGAGATTTACTACAAAGACAGCAGAGATTTCAAGGTACACAACTCAGCTCTGAAACAGGAGAAAAGTTCACCATTAGTGCAAAAAAAGAAAAAAAAGAAAAATTGAGTTTAAGTGGTGCGTATATCACAGCGGACGTCCAACTTGTCCCAAAAAACCTGAGCTCAATGCGGTCGGGCCAATGCAAACAGAATTGAAGAAAAGAAAAGTCTGAAATGCACAAGTTAAACATGATATTACACTGGGAAAAAAACTTGGGTTTTCTAAACATTTTTAATGTTAGTGGTTGCAAACAGGGCAGCACAGTGGCTCAGTGGTTGGTACTGTCGCCTTACAGCAAGAAGGTCACTGGTTTGAATCCCGGCTCTGTCAGTTGGCATTTCTGTGTGGAGTTTGCATGTTCTCCGTGTGTTTGTGTATGAATGCAGTAGTTTTGCCTGTTGATGATTACTCAGGCCTTGAACAGATCCGTCTTCTTTCCTTGTCTTTGGCTAGGCAGAACCTCTTTTTTTTTTTATTAGGGCTGGACAATAATTCGATATCAGTATATATTGCGATATAATTCTTTTTAATAATGGTGATATGAGTTTTAAACTCATTTCCGGTATTTCGTCATACATTTGCATATATATATATTTTATTCAACACAATCTCACGGCAATTCGTAATTTTTTCATTTAGTGGCTAATTCGTACAAATTCGTACAATCTAATTTGTACATTTTAGTACGATTTGCGTATCCCCCAATGACGGTTGGGTTTAGGGGTGGGGTTAGGTGCCAGGCCTCCTTTTTAAAATCGTACAATTTTGTGCGACTGAACTCGTACGAATTTGTACGAATTAGCCACTAAACTGGCAAAACGTAAAATACTTACGTTTCCTCGTGAGATCAGGCTGATTTTATTATATTTATAAGATCTTATAGACTGTATCATTTGTCACTGAGTATCACTTGTCACACTCAGCCGTCAGAAAGAGCGTGATGTTCGTCATCACGCAAGTGACATCACAGACACACTGCCAGCGCTCAGCCTCAGCACAGCAGTTGGTTAGCTCCGTCACAGAAAGTTTGCCCTGAAGTGTGCCCTGAATGCAGATGTGAATGAACAAGCTTCCACAAGTAAGAATGCAGATGAATTAGTTGATGAGAGAGGAAAGACTAATGCAGTGGTGAGCAAATGGTTTGGCTTTTTAAGTTCCGATAAACTTATAGTTTTGGTTATCTGCAAAATGTGTGGGAGAGTGATGCCAACTAGCATCGATGATGTAGACACATTAAATCTGTTCCCCCCGATAGAACATACTGACAGTCAGAAGCAATGACAGAAGATGAGGCATCATAATCGTTTAAGCCAACCTGTCGCCTCACCACTATCCACCATCCTGACATACATCAGCGGTGTCAGAAGAGAAGGCTATGAAACAAACAGATGGCTAGAGGCGACGTGTAGGATTTAAATCAAACTTCGCTTAACACGTGCATATACACCTATACATTTCTCACATATAAACCGATACTATTGAATGTTCAAAACATGTATGAAACTTGCGCAAATGCATATGAACTTGATGCATGCATATTTTACACATCCATACACACGCACATACATAACTCGATCCTCGCATAAACACCCAAATTAACACTCATATAACGGCTCACGGCACACACACAAACTTACAAAATCAAATTCACAAACATATTTATCAGGAATCTGGTTATTGCAAAGCTGATGAAATAGAAAGAATGTGATTTACCGAGGTATTCAATCTCTTAAATAATGTAAATGTGTTGTATAAAATATTAGTCAATATGAATAGACTATATAAAATATATAAGAACAATTTTATGTTAAACCTTTTAATTTAATTCTGTAATTAAATACACAAATATAAATAGACAGATAGAACCCATAAAGGACATTCAAGATGAAAAGCGACCAGAAATATGAATATACTCAAACTACTATTTTCTATTGCAAATATTAATGTAGCCTGTACTCTTTTTAATTTTTTTAATTATTAAAATTATTAATCTTTTTCTATGTTTTCTACGATGTGGATGTCATAATTGTAAGGTTTTTGTATTATTTTGATTGTTAAATATTCAGCATATACAAAAAAAAAAAAAAGAAAAAAAAAGCTGATAAAAGTTTCTGTTCACGTTGGTCAAGCTAACATCCATGAACTATCTATTGTAGGGATAGTATACATTTTAACCCAAAGAATGACCAGTTCGGTAGATGAAGAAGAGCCAGA